TTTAATTTTATGTCTGTCAGTTTGATCTAAAGTAACTGACAAGAAGTAAAATTTTATTTATTGATACGATATCCGTTTACTTTCAGATAAGTAAATCTATCATTACTCGCTAGGCTATTTGGTTAGATAAATTTTTTTTAATCGGAGGCCTCCCAACATATTTTAGACAGGGAAAAAGAGGACCACTTGTAGGTAAAAAGAAGACCTATGAGAACCACTTCAAGACTGAAAAAAAAAGAAAGAAAAGAATTTAGTCCTTAGTACCATTTACAATTAAAACAATTATTATTCCGGGACCCCTGAATACAGTTTGGTTCGATATCTTTACCAATATTAACAATGTCAAAAAAATTTAAAAACAGAATCCTACTAAAAAAAATCTTGACTGTTTCAATCAACAATCTTACGTTTATTACTTCTCTCTTTTTAGCTTTATCTTTTTTGTTTCAAAGACTTGTGTAGAAGTATTTTATTAGCTTGTGGCTCACTTATCTGTTAAAGGCATTTTTAGTTTTTTGAAATACATATTTTATAGAAAGTTAGATGAAAACTTTCAAAAGAGTGTTTACTAAATAATTTGAAATGAGGCGGAAATAGGAGTAAACAAATAACTTTATACCAATTTAACATTTTCTCATTCAATTATTTAATTTTTTTTAGCCACCACAATTCTTTATCAGCTTACTTTTTTTATTAAATCTGCAATCTTTTTTTATTTAAACTAGTTTCACGAGACTGAGTTCCTAAAAAATCAGATCCTATTGCTATGAGCTCATGCATGCTCCCCCAAAACGTTTTGGTGGCATGTGTTATTATAAATTTGATTTGTAATAATTTTGTAAGCTTAAAAGTAAATAGTCTTAGATTTCTGAAAGGAATGTTTGAATTCTTAAAAATTTTTCCCGCGCTTATGTCTCAGCGCCATGTTTTTTTCTTCTTCTTACATTACTTTAATTTTAATAATACAGATTTAAAAAAATACGTCGCTTTCTTTTCTGATATGCATGTGCACATTTTTTTAAAAGTATATTTCTATAGAGTGTTACCTGTAGAAATTATATTGACAGTTACAGTATAAAACTCTATTTTATGTATAAAAATATAGTTTTTTATTTCATTTTTGATATTTACAAATAAGTAAATAAAGCTGTTTATATCTTTGATTAAATTGTTCGTAGCCAAAATGTACATATTATTGGCAATTCTTATTTTATATTATATATTCTTACTTATACTCAAACAAATACTATTTACCATAAATTAAAAAAAGAGCATACCTATTTTTTTAAATTTTCAGTTATTACCCTTCTCTTTGCGTGTAATCCTAATAATTTTAATTCTAAATATGTTTCTTAATTCATTAAATAGTATTTTTTGTCATGAAATTGTATAAAAAAATAAATAGTTGTAAATAAATTGTATAAAAAAATAAAATAGCCTTTATACCAAAAGATATTTTAATAATAATAAAAAAACATGGATAATCATATTTTTAAATAATTTGTTAAAAAAAATTAACACGTACATCTTGGAAAATAAATTTGATTCTTGTTGAATAACATTACCCTTTTTCAAAGGTTAAAATTTAAAATATATTTAATGGAGTAAAAAAAAGAACATATTTATTGGTTAAATTTCATTTGTAAGAATTCAGTTAAACAAATTTGCTGCAGCAATTTGAATTAATTCATAGAGTAAATATTTTAAGCTATTTACTCTTTTAATTATGTATCTTTATTGACCTTTATTTATTTTTCATTAAAATAAATGCACGCAGTTATAAGCAATTTTAGGTTTTAAACATTTTGTTAAGTAAACAATTCAATCTCATTAGAATGTTATGGAATATAATGTTTATTCAATTGACAAGTTTTGTGAGTACAGTATTTATCACATAATTTTTAAAAAGAAAAATTTAAAACTGATCGTAATATCAATGACTTGATTACCATAATTTTTATAAATTTTTTGTAGCCTATTGCAATCCAACCAAAAAAAAGTAACTGAAAAAAAAATCAAATTGAAATATCCTTAGAATGACGAAAAACAACATAATCATCCTAATGCTTAGTGAATATCTTTTTATAATTTAGAAAATTTCTTTGCAAGCAAAAAAAGAAGTAAATGCATGAATTTATAAACAATTGTAAATTTTAAAAATTCATTAAGTAATTTTTTTTAAAATCTTAATGGCAGGCACTGAGCTTTCATCCTTCACCTTGAAAGATGCCGGAAGTGTTGCTCATTTAATTTACGGAGGAGAGCAACATTACCCATGCTACGCTGTCACAGATACCTGTTTATAGGTTAAGCCACATTCACACAACAGAGAATAGCCCACTCAGAGAAACATCCTTGCACTAAGTTGGATACGAACCCGCAACCATTGGTTTCGCAGTCAGGCATGCTGACCACTCGGCCACCTGGCCGGCATTTATTAAGTAAGTAATTTAATCTATGAATGTTTTAGTATATGAGGTATTTTCAACCGACAAGTTTTGTAATTACAGTATTTATTGAAGAGAAAAATCAAATAATAATAATATCTATCAATAAGATCCAATGCATTCCATTCCCCGATCCAATTATGCAATCCATTCCCCCCTTTTTTTTTAACATTTTGCTGTCAATAGAAACCCTAACAAAGAAAGAGTACACAAAGAACAATGAAATAAAATTGTCAGAAAGCTGATCAAAACAACTTAATAATTCATAGCTGATAGATATTTGTTTTATAATCAATTCAAGTATTCTTAATGAAAAGTGTCATTAAAAAAATTTTAAAATTTTAAAACATAATAAAAATACCCTTGAGATGGCAAAAATTTAATGAATGGTGGCTAATGGTAGTTTTCAAACAATTTATTTAAGTTTTAATATTGTTAGTAACATGGTAACAATGAGGGCCAAAATCAATTGGACTGTTCAGATCTGCATAACAACGGGAGATGAGAATAAGGAGAATTTGTTTCCTCGATAGCTATTCCAATTTCAAACGCTTCTTCGGAGCACATGCATTAGCTCATAATAATAGGAGTCGTTTTTGACAGTGCTCTTTCTTTAAAAACTAGTAGTATTCAGCTTTTTGCCCCAGATGTCCTACAAAAAGGCTCGTGCTTGACAAACTCTCATAGATGTTTAAGCTGTGCATGTATTGTGTAATTTTCTCTCCTAGCTATTTGCTTCTCCTGTTTTTAATTTTTTGCTTCTTTCTTAACTTCATGGAGTCTTGGTATATATTTTTCATGTTATTGGTTTTCAGATTTCAATTAGTTGTTAACAGTTTTTAAATAAATTTAGGTATATTTCTATTTTGCCAGGGTGGGCGATAAAGTCATCAATGCAGACTTACTTAGTGCAAATAAATTAAATAGTTTTTTTTAATTATTATTATTTATAAGTAATGTTTTTAAAAAAGAAAAAAAATAGATAAGTTAGTTGCTGAAATTACTTGCGCAATCGAAATGAACCTAGATTAGTTGTTTCCGTCCTTTGCTTAATATTATTCTGAAGTATGTATCTGTGAATCTTGATTATCAGAGCCTGGTTTGCATCTGTATTATAATAACAAGATTAAACTGGTCATGTTAAAACATAGTATTGAACCTATAACCTAGCATATACCATTACATGAAATACGACTCTATAGGTCAACATTTATCTGTATTTTTGTCGTATCTGCAAGCAGGATATGTCAGTAGATAAATGTAGGAAAATTGAAGTGATTATTACAATGAAATGAAAAATGAATGATTAAACTGCTTGAAACAATTATCAAAGTCCATTTTTCTGGTATAAAAATTGTTAACACTTAAATTTATTATAATATGAAAGTAAACAGCTACATTTATCATCATTTTGGCAGATTTTAGTTTCAACTATTAGATGGTAGAAATTTTTTTTTTAAAAAAAAAGCTTAATAGTTGAAACTTTTTTATTACAAAATTATATTTTTAATATAATTTCTAAACTTTTAATTTCTTGATATTTTTTAATGACCCTTAATTTTAATAGTTCTTTTTGAACTTGGAGACTCATATTTTTTTAATGAACTAACTTGATTATTTATATATTAAATTTATATCTATGTTTCCAAAGTTTTTTTTGTAGAACTTCAAAAGTTGACTATGATTTTTTTTTACATGAATAACGAGCATATAATAACAGTTTTGTATGAAATTTACTTAATTTTTACTTTAGTACTTCACTTGTTGCCTCACTCAGTCCTCTTGTTTATGGTGGTGCTCAAGGGGTGATGGAGAAGGACATAATTCTGGGGTTGGATCTGCTTAGGGCTCTATCGAAATTTTTTTTAAAAAAAATTTAGTTTTTATTAATTATAGCTTTTTTAAAGAAAGTTTTTTATATCTAAGTAAAAACTGCAATTTTGTATTAAGAGTCAAGTATTCTACGTATTTTACAAATGTTCTATAAATTTTACAAAACATTCTACAAATATGAAAATAGGATTTTTGTATTTTGAGGAATGGGTCTGTAGTAGATCTTGACCAGAGGCACATAAAACCTCTGTTCAGTCTTGCGTATCATTCATTCAATTTAGAAATTGCTTAAAGCAAGAGTTTTGAACAAATTTTTCTCATTAGTTGGTCAGATAAATAGTTACATTGATTGAGAATGTTAGAGGTAAAAAGTAAATCATATGTTATAAATTTTTACTTACTAACTAATTTTGTAAAAATTTGAAATATTTGCAGTAATAAAAATTGCAGCACGTTATTAAAAATAAAATAAAAAATAACATTGCTTGAATTTGTTAATTATAACTTGTATGAAACTATGTGATTCTCATTTTGGTATTCATTGTTTGTTATTTTTGGATCATTTTATTTTATACAGGACTTCAATTTAGTAAAAATGATAGATTAGATGTTATATATTTGCTAAAAATTTTGCACTATTTTAATTTTGGCTTGCAATCCTTATTTTTATGTACTAGTATTTTTTTGAACATGGAAAAAGCTGTCATTTTAAACTTTTATTGCTTACATGGTTTTTAATTTTTGTGATAATTTTGAATTGCTAATTATTTCCATACTTTAAATTTTTCTTTTTACAGTCCAATGAAATAACTATTAATGATACTTTCTGACAAGTAAAGCTTTCAAGGTATGCAAAAATGTATAGTAACAATTTGAGACACATAGGTGTACTTATTTATTCTGCATAATGAATGGAGAGTGTATTTATAAATTATTATATTTTAAAGCGGCAACTTAGATTTTTGCTATTTTTCTGTGATCATAAACTGCAAGCAAATTTGTAGACTTTAATTCATGCATTACCATACAAATCTGTGCAAATGTCTTAACTGTTAAATGTTTAAAAGCATATTGGCAATATTAAATCTGTGTAAAGAAGAAAGTTTTGACTCTTGCCTAATTTTTTGTAACATTAAAATTAAATTTAAATTAAGAAAAATTAACTTAAAATTTAATTTGTAACATTTAAATAAAGGCTAACACAAATCATTATCTTGAAAAAATAATAATGAGTAGATTTGTTCAGTTATGTACGCTTACTCAATAAGCTAAGTCACTGTCAAGGCTTCTTAAAATAAGGTATTTTTGTTTTTTGAAATAATATGGCTTGCAATTTTTTTAAATTTCTGTTTATTTTTACTTTAAGATGATATTTCACTAAAAAGAATTGACTCTAATCAAGATATATTTATGCTCCTTATATGTACTTTTTTCCTTGTTAAGAATTTTTACCAACATTTGATAAAAATATTGAAATTAATTTGTTTTGAGAAGCCGAACAATATCTTCTGAATCCTAATGTTGATAGTGAAAGAAAAAGTGTGGATTTATTACAATTTGCGTAAAACACCTGAAGCTACAGGTTTGATGTTTATGCATCAATTGATAAAAACATTGTGATGTAGTCGGTTAAAGAAGTAGTTGTAAAAGTGGAAGAAGTGCAATCTAATTCCAATGAAGACTGAACTTAACACAACCAATTAAAGCAAACATTTGCAGGAGGGCTGAAAGCCTTAAAAACAATAAGGAGCTTTCTGTATTCACAAGAACTTTCAGAAAGTGAACTACAATCTGTAACAGCTGTTAAAAATTTATTGTTTGTCCTAAGAAAAAAGAAAACCCAAATTTCTAAATATTTTAAGGAAGTTAATACATTTATTTATCCCTTTTTTGCACTGTAAATATTTTGAATAATTTTTCAGTTAAATGTTTTATACTTATTACAATTCTATTAATTTTCATACATTTCCAAATTATTAAAAGTTAACCCTCAGTCGTCGTTTTCTTGCATCTGTTCTGTGGTTTGTGAAGAATAGTTCCTCGAGAAGGATCGATTGAGGTTCTTATGTATTGAATTTTAGCTTATAAAAACAAATCATAATAAACGAAATTCAAAATTTTCTTATAAACTACAATTTAGTAATCGAGATTTCTGAAAACATTTATCTGCCATCTCACTGCGTATTTTAAGAAAAACTTAATTTTTTGTATCTATGCTGTCGAATTAAAATTATTTTCTTAACTGATATTTTTTATTATGTAATTAATGTTTAAGGTGAAAAAATCTGAAATCAAGTCAACTTTAAGGTTCCTGATTATAGGTTTTTACACTTTTACTTGAATCATGAATGTTTTAAAAGTTTTCCTACTTATTACTATATAATATTTAAAATATAAAACAGAAATTTTTGTAAAAGAGGTTTAAATTTCATGGTTTTACTATTAATGAACTAGTTAATTTTTCTACAGATAGTTGAACAATGTGTCAACAAGTTATTTAAAAATCTTTTAACATAACTGCTTTTGATAAAAAAAAAAATTCTCTCCATGTAACCATTTTTTGTTATTAAGAAATTTTCTCTGTGCATATTTTTATGTAGTTGTTTTCACAATAACCAGAAATAACATAGTAATTTTGTGTATTTGTCATTCTCCTTAATTATTTTCTTTTCATTTAGCTACGGAAGCATAAGGAGTCAAACCCACAGCTGCTGCTCCATCATCACTTTTGCATACCTGCTGTTTCAGCTATGTTAAAAGTAATTCTTTTTTTTTCTTCTGCGAAATATGCTGTCTGTAATGAAGAAGAAGCTTACATTTGGAGTTTCTTTGTACAGGGTTATTCATAATTCCCTCCGGGCAGGAACTGCACTATCGCATTGAGGTATGCCGTGTGATCAAGGGTTCACGCTTAGAACACCTGTAATGTATGTAAGTAAAACTTGAATAGTTTCGGAATAATTTCATATGTTTCTTTTTTTCATATTCGTCTTCTTTTTTTTACTATAACGCTTCAATACCCCGAAGGGAATTATGAGTAACCCTGTATATCTTTTAATCTTTAATCAACATTATTATTTTTATGCAAAAAATTGTATAAAAACTGCTACGTGTAATCTTTTGTTTCTCAAACTGAAAGTATGCCTGATTCATGAGAAAGTGTCACATTTATTAGCAATATATATTATTTATGATTTTTTTCCAAATTGAAAATATTGTGTTAAAATTTATTTTGATTTTCATGAAATACACTTCGACACACTCTTTAAATATCTTTGATGAAATGACTAGTTTTTCTCTTAATTCAGACCAGAAAAAAATTGTCGCTGTTCCCTTCAGTATTTTTTACTATTTGTTAGATAAATTATTTCAAAATAAATTTCGACCACGTATTACTTATTAACAAAAAAATATTTTACCTGTTAAAAAAATTTGCATATTTCACGTTGATTATTTTTTCTAAGGACAAGTCTTAACCTTATTTTATAATCTTATTGATTTATTATTTTTAACCTTTTTTACATTTTAAAAATAGGAATTTACAAAAATATTAATAGTTCTTTTTTTTTCTGCATTTTTACAGCCTGTTGCAGGCCAAGACTCTCTCCTTAAGTTTCTTTCATTGGGAATGATCCACTGTTACAGTTTTCCAATGGTTGATCCCAATTTTATGTGACATTTTCTCAACTGTATCAAGCCACCTCATGTTTGGTTTGCCCGTTTGCCGTTTTTTTGGGGGGAGGGGGGTTAATTCATTGTATCTGTAGATATGTCCAAGTCATCTTAATTGATATACCTTTTTAGTTTTCACAATATTTGGTTATTATACTCCAGACATTATTTTTTTGAAAGTGCCAAATATTTTCTTTTCTCTTAGAACATGTTTTCCTTTGTTTTGTTCATGGTCCAGAATGCGCTTCCACAAATACTTTTTTGTTTTACTAAAGTTTTATATTGATAAGTCTTTAATTTATGCTTAAGTGTTTTAATTTCAAGTGATTTCTTAATCCATGTTAACATTTGTTTGCTATATTTAATAAATTAATCTAACATTTAAACTGTTATACTGTGTCTTTAATAACTTTTTCAATGACATGGAATCTCAGTCTTATAGATATTCGTATAGGTTTTACTTAACCTTGTTTTGCTTTACATTTAACTCTATTAATTGTCATTTTTGTAAGATTTATCTAGTTACATGTGTATTTCTAAATCGAGTATTGCATAATATAATTTTGTTCTATCTATGCCATCATATGCTGTCTTAAAGTCCAAAAATATATGGTATGTATAAATATTAATTTCTTTTGTTTTTTTCCCCAGATTTGTGTGATTGTGTGGATCTGGTCTTGATCTTTCTCCTTCTAATCCACATTGATAATTTTCGATGACTTTTGCAATGTATGGTAATAGTCTTTTGCATTGAAATGCTTGTTAGGATTTAAAATGCTTTGTTTAAAGAGGTGATTACTCTGTTGTTGTTACACTCTTAAATTTATCTCTTTTTTATGTCTTGGACGCATGGCCCCATACTCTCATTCAATGGGCATTTATTTAAGTGTCTTGACACAGACTTTAATTATTTGTGTTTTATAAACAAACAAAATTTTTAGTTTTTTACTCTCCAATGATAATGGAAGAGCAGTAACTGTTATGGTACCGGAATGACATATGAAAGTGAAAACAGCTTAAATATTAGATTTATCTTTTACTATAAAACAATTTATTTTTAAAAACAATTAAAATTTTTTTTTATAAAACACATGCATCGCATTCATTATTTCAAATGTGTCATATATCATGTCCTAGATATAATTTGAAATGTTCACCATGGTCGTGCAGCAAATTTTGCATAAAATTTTATTTTTAAGAAATTCTTGTTTGTCTAACTCTTAATGAGGGTAAAATATTCCTTCTAGATCTACTATTAAAACTAGGTTATTCAGGGTAGCCACCCACCTGGAAAACCTTGAAAACCTGGAATTATCAGGGAAGTTTTTTATACTGGAAAAAACCTGGAAAGATCAGGGAAATTTAGATAAAAACCTGGAAAGATCAGGGAAATTTAGATAAAAACCTGGAAAAATCAGGGAATTTTAAAGAAAAGCTGGAAATTTTTTCTTTGATAATTTTTTTAATCTTACTAATTTAAATTATTTGCTAATTTTCTTAATTTAAATTATTTTGTCCATTATCCCATTTTTTTTAAACGGAAATGTATCACCAAACAGTTGAAATATCATCAACTTTGCTTGCATCATGCTTGATACTTTGCTTGCATCAAAATTTGCTCCATTACAGTGTTAAACTGGAATGCCACATAAAATTCTCCCACGGTTGCTGAACGAATGTAGAAACCTTTGACCGCTATGGGACTGTGCAATTTAGATAAGATTCCGGTGGAGGTGGAAAAAGGGATTAGGATATTAGCTTCTGTTTTTAAATTCTGTCCTTGGGCTGAATCCATTTATGGCTCAAGTTTGTTCTGATGCTTTGGTGGTAATTTTTTTTTTCTATTTTGACAAAATGTTTTTATATTTTTAACTTCATAAAATTCTCCAAAAATTAGTTGGTTATAATT